CCATTTCTGTCACTCCTGCACTCTTTTTCCGTTGTGAACGTTACAGATCTTTTTTTTTTTTCCCCAGTCAAGCCTATTTTTCTTTTAATTGCCGGCAGGCCCCACAGTCCATCCCACCATGACAGTGCTGTCCGCAGAATCAAAAATGAAACGTTTCTGGCATGCACATGGCCACTGAGCGAATGGCTCTGTGCCCCAGAGCTCACATGGGTGCTTTCTCCCCCCAAATCTCCCTTCGAGGACCTCTTCCCAAGGCCCTGCTCCCCCATTTTTTGCAGGCTGAGGCGGCTTGAGAGCTCACTTACAGGTTCCACAAACTCAAACATCTTCCTCTCCTGGACCTCTTGCACCTTGAAGACATACTCCAGGGAGACTTCGTAGAAATGCTGCCGAACCAGGTCCACCTGGCTGTCTGCCTGCAAGCACCGGGGAGATTAAAGAGGAAATACAAATTCACTACTGACCGGGAGCACTTGGCCTTGTGACTAGAGGACATCTGGGTCTAATGGGAACGTGCAGAACAAATTCAGCTTCAGACCCCAGTCCCGGGCTGGACAGATGGCACAGCGATTAAATATAAACCTGATTCGCATGAACAGGCTCTTTCTTCAGCTGAAAAAAAATGCTTTTGATGACTCACGTTCTCACCTCCCTGACAGCTGTGTAGAAAAGCACGCATTAGAAGCAAGAAAAATGAGAAGTTGCTGTATACTTGATAATAAAAGGCAATTCTCCACTTTCTGAAAAGCACCGCAACGGGAAACTGCCTGGAGCATCCCAGGGCAGAACCGGGCAGCACACATGCCTCACCACCCTCTCCAGCGAGCGTGTCACTTCGGTGGATCAGCAGACAGCAAATCCCCTCTGCTTTGCAGGTAAAGCCCAAGTGAGCAAAAATAGGGATATGCCCCAATCCCAGTGTGTAAAAATAACCTTGCCATGCACACAGAGCAGAGCCGCTGCACGGAAAGCTGGGTGAGGGACACGGGTATCCCCGGGCTGCCCACGTGTTGCTGCTACGTGTGCAAGTGACACTTTGCGTAGAGCAACCCGGGGGTCACCGACGCCGGCAGCGCGCACAGGGAGGTCGGTCTGGGTGACCCCCCCATCCCTCTGACCTCAGCGCCAGTAAACTCAGCCGGTTGAAGAGCCTCACCCCCAGCACAAGCCGCCATCGAGTCGTTGCTCAATGGGAGGCAAATTCCCCTGTCCCGGCTGAGGACAACGGGGTGCCCTCGCCAGCGCGACCCTCGCTGTGCCCGGCGCAGAGCCGGACCTCTGAGGAGGAGGATACGCCGCACCGTGCATCCCGTCAGGGTGGGACATACGGCCGCCCCGCGCTCTGCAAAACCCAGCTGGCAAATACCCGCTTGCACTGAACAGCAGCTTACTCCTGATTTTGTGTGTGACACAGCTGTGAAACGGCCCGCTTTCCCCACGACTTGCCGCCGGCATTTGTGCTGTGCGCCCGCGGTGCGCAGGCTGAGGTATTTAGCAAACTGAGTTCCGAAAAGCAGAAAATATGATGCAATCACATAACTTTGTCAGGAGTTAAGTGGCAGATTAGACTCTGTGTGTTATTTAATTGGTCAACAGCCAAAGCGGCAGAGAATTCCCATGGTTTCCTCCTCTCCCCGCCTCGCTGCAGCAATTGCACACGTTGCCGCTATCACCCTCCAGATGTAGACGGCAAGAGGAGGTTAGGAAATATAAAACACCGAACCTCCCGGACACAAACGCTCTTCTCTTAGGACATCAGGGCATCTAGTGAAGCTTCAGACTGCTCATAAACCGGCGGCGTTAACTTTCCTGAAACGCTACCATCCCACCAGCGCCTTCCCCACGCGCGCCTGCTGGGGCTGCAGCCCCCTGCCCACAAAGCCCCTTGGCAGGCAGGGAGCACGGCGGGCAGCCCAGGGGAGGTGCCGGACAGGGCGAGCGCTCCCACGTGCTGCTGGATGCCACATCCGCGTTTCACAGCCTACGCGCTGGACGGCTCCTTCAAAGGCAGCCCCTCCTCAGTGGGGCTTGAGCCACCAAAACCAGCGTGTGCTTCCTAGTGCCCCGGGGGAAACGGCCCCAACACCTCAACTTGGGAGCTGGCTCCAGCCTCCAGCAGCCTCCTCAGGAACAGCCAAAGTCAAAGTCTGGGGTGGAAAATGCCAGCAGATGGCACCAGCAGCCAGCGCTGCTCAACATTTACCGGCAGCCGCATCCTGCACACAGCCAGTGCCCGCATCCCGCACCGCATCCCACCGCCCTGCCGCTCTGGGCTCCCAGGCAGCCCCGCAGGGCCCTACCCTGCCCAGGGCACGGGATCACACCTCTAAAAGTCACTGCTGCAACCTGACAGCCTCAAGTGGCTCCTTCCCTCCCCAGAAAGAGCTCCTTCCACTCCTCTGTCTCACAATAGTATTTCAAACATGAACTAAACCAGAGGTTTAAAGGGTTATTTAAAAGCCATCTTCTGGCACATACAGGTCCTTCCCACACGGCAAGTTATTTACAAACTCAGAACATCTACGCAACGACAAAGCTGGCTTGCAGGCATGTCAACCCTGATTCTTCCCCCTCTTCAACCCTGGAGGATGATTATTTGCGCCATGGACGTATCTGCTCTCGAGTCCCTGGGCACCGTAACAGCACCTGAGCTACCCCAGCGCAGAAGCCACCGCCTGTGCCCACCAATTCCCCCAGGAACGGCTCAGCGACACACCAGCATCACGCCCGAAAACAAGGACGTGCACCCTGCAGGGACCAGCCCAGCTCTGGGCCAGCGCAGGGAATTCCAAACTTGGAAGAAGTGATTGAAAACTCAGCGTACTCATCCAGTAAGAGCATTTGGCACAGCAGCTAACTACGTCCCGAGTCAGTAAGAGGCTCCTAAAGCAGTTTAAAAGCACTAAGCCTGATCACTCCTCCCATGAAGCCCAAAGCCAGTGCAGCCACTTTCAGAGCAGGGAACTAGACGTCCATGATTTGTGCTGGCACAAGGGAAGCCTGCAGCAGAAACAGTTCCTTTCTGTTGCACTCTTTAATTATAAACTCTCTCTCCTTTTGGATTGCTATCCATTTTGGGATCTCTCTGATTTTACAGCCAGGAAAACCAATGCAATAAGCTGCATAAAGCATTCAAAAAGCTCACCCCAGTTACTGCAAGACATGGAAAACCAGAGGTTGCTCTCACCTCCTGAAGCTGGGATTCTTTCTTCTTAGAAGACAAGTTTAAGTGCTTTTCTAGGACGCCACAATACTTCTCCGTCTCCTTGTCATATTTCTTTTTGGCATCCTACAAAATAGAAGAAAAAGCGTGATGCTGAACACAACGGCACCAGGGCAGCCGTGGGGATCCATGGCATCCCTACAGCACGGCGCAGCACCGCGCGTCCCGGGCAGGAGCTCACCCCCTTCTGCACAGCACAGGAGGGGACCAAGGCCAAGGGGCATCAGCTGGAAGTGGGCGAAGCTGCTTTTACCCGCCACCATCGGGCAGCTACAGGAAAGCGGCTTGCACTGCCAAAAGCCAAGACCTGGGGGAGCCCCTCCTCTATTCCCAGAGCCCAAGGCTCGGCAAAACATCCAGGTCCAGGGCTGGCCCAAAGACACCACAGCCAGGAAAGTGCTTGCTAACCAGCACATTGTCAGAATTTCACATCCCATCCCGCCACCCCTCACAATGGCTTATCCTATGCATCACTCGGGACGATGACACAGTAATTTGGCTTTTTGTGGCAGGAGCATTAAAGGAGGACGTCAACCTTAACTTTTCTTTTGCACCTCTCATCCCAGCCTCACCACCCCACCGTGCCAGCATGAAATCCACCACTGACACCTGCTAATTAGTAGCTCCTTTCTGAAGCACACCTTTTTGTGTTTTTTGGTTTTTTTTTTTAACTGCATGACCCAGTACACCCTGCCCAGGCTGGGCTCCACTGCGGTGCCGCCACGGCTCCCGTGCCAGCGGGGAGCTGGGTGCACTGCAGCCCCGCCGGGCTGGCATGTGCTTCTTGCAGGCAGCAGCAGGTTGTTATAACAACAGGAGAGCCCCAGATAGTGGTTTTAATTTCAGAACAAAGGCAGGAAAGAAAGGG